CAGCTTCCAGTTTGGAGCTGCATCGGGAAAGTATCCCTTGATACAGTCCGTGACGCTAGATCCGACAGCATTGTCAAGACCAAACCTGGAAAGACAGAAAATAAATCATTAATTAGAACATATATATACATACCATAACACTTTTTAAAAATTATTTAATAAAAAAATTTTAAAATTAAAACATACCATAATACGTTTTTGCCGTCCCGTCGGAGAGGATCTAACTCTGGTAGCCCTTCTCTGCCTGGAAGGGCCAAGATATCCTCCACCGTGTACACCGCAAATGGTGCGTTCGGAGGCACCTGCAAGTCATGATGAATCCCGACCAGTGGAGGAGGAGGAGGAGGAGGAGGCTGAGGAGGTGGCTGCTGAGACCGGGATACCGTAAAACCTCCCTGGGTCTCGGGAACTCCTGAAGGTGAACCACCGGGAGCTGACGAAGATGAACCGGGCCCGAATATATCCGCATAATGAATTCCCTGATCTACAGGCCTCCTGGACTGAGCAGCAGCAACTTTGCTCTTTCTAACCATCTAAATTTAAAAAAAAAAAAACAGAAAACAAAAAACAGTTAAACAAACGTAATTTAAAATTCCTAATCGAACCACCTAATCTAAATTCCCTAAACTAACCACCTAATCTAATCACCTAACTAGGAACTAGAGAGTACCTTAAGAGAAAATGGAGAGGAACTTACTATGACTGAGAAGTCGGATTGCTCGTGTATATATAAGGAATTTTGTTTCCTCGTAAAGCTCTAGTAATATTACTAGGGCTTTACGAGGAAACAGCTATGTCCGTGTTTTCATTTCCTCGTAAGCTCCTAGTAAGGTCCTAGAAATATTAACACTAGGATTTTACGAGGAAATCCTTTACGAGGAAATAGCTATGCCCGCGTTTTTTTCCTCGTAAAGTCCTCGTAATGCTTACGAGTAAATAGCTATGCCCGTGTTTTCTATTACTAGGGCTTTACGAGGAAAGAGTTTGTAAATCCCTAAACCTTAACTTTAAACCTAAACCCTAAACCTAAACCAACTTCCATAACTTATACCTATACATCTTCCTAAAACCCAAATCACAAATTTTTTTTAAAAAAACTAAAAGAAGTATACAGTCATCGGAACGGTTTTTATCAACCCCACATAGCTTTCCTCGAACTATCTACCTGAAGAAAAGCCCCAAGCTATTTCTTTGAGGAAAAGCTACGAGGAGTTGATAAGAAACTATTATGTTGACTGTGAACTCCTTTCAGTTATGAATTGAGTATTTTCTATTTGTTTG